TGGGTCTGATTTTCAGAAGTACTGCTAAGCACCTGCAAGTCCCACAGTGAAGTCAATGAGAGCTGTAGGTTCCCAGCACCTCTGAAAACCAGACACGTTAGAACTGTAAAGGTTACATGTGAGTGGCTGCAATTTTTACTTTCCGTCTAGGGCTCTGGTAGGAAGGAGAGCAGCAAGGGAGTAGGAATGCACAGGATGATAGGACAGTGAATTAACATAGGTTGGTTAGCATGAACAGCTGGAATGGTAGTTGGGAGTAGTCTGTATTTAAATTAATTCAATTTTTAGAAAAATGAAGCTAACAACAATGAGGTAGAGAAGCATTTGGGCATAGGTCTTGTTTTGTTTTTTTTTAAAGGAGGGCAAGCCTTTAATCTCATATATTTTTAAAAGGTTAGGATATAAAAAATAGAAAGATGCCAGTGTTAAAATGTATATTTTAAACTATGCACATATATATGAGGCAAAGGTGAAGCCAAACCTGAAAAGGTCATGTTTACTATAAGCAAAAATAGGACTAAAATTAACACAAAAATATTCAGTAAAAATCAAAGATTAACATTATTTTAGAGATTAAAATATAGGAAATGATCAAATTAATACATAAACAGAAAAAAAGGGAACAAATAAGATGTGTGCCTGATCACTTTGGGCCCGATATTGCAAACATTTACAAACATTATTAAAATTACTCACCTGTGTAGTCCCATTAACTTCTGTAGGACTACTCATGCATATGTGTAAGAGCTTTGAAGAATCAGGGCTTTGAGTAGCCCCACTGACTTCATGTGGGCAAAGTCATTCATGTGCTTAATTCTTTGCAAAATTGACCCCCTAGACGATAAACTTTTTGAGGCAGGAACCTTTTCTTGTGTGTTTTTTCAGTACCTTGCACAATGGGACTCCAATCCTGACTGGGGCTATTGAGTATTACCACAACAAAAGCTAATAATAATAAATAATGTTTTCAACCTTTTTTTTTTATGGGTGATCTCATAAAAATCACAATCCATTTTTCTGGTGAAGTGAGAAAAACAAATGTGATAATGCTACCGTGACAGAATACACCCCTGTGTTCAGACCCTACACATTACTATAATAATGTTTATACAAGGTATGCCTAGTGAGGTATCATTTAAAAATTCATAATTTGCTGATCAGTAATAACATGACAAAATACACATAGCGTTATGTGTAAAGTTATAAACGTAAGCTGAGCTCATGACTAAAGGTATATTTTCCAGATAAGTCTGGGGAGTGGCCAAGCCAGTTTCTCACAGACAAATGGCAAGATAATGCCTCAGTTAGGTGTAAACAAGTTCTAATGGACCATTACCAGCTAAGTGGCCGTTCTCTGGCAGGAAAGGGGTCGGGGCAAAAATCTCCATCTTAGCCAAGAAACAGCATGGAGTTTCCTTCCACATAGACTGCCTGCTGCCTTGCTCCCAGCTAGAAATGCTTCTTAAAAGAGGGACAGGACTATTAAAAGAAGGGGGAGACATCCCAGGCCTGCCCCTCCCCCTGCCCATCACATTCTCGGCACCTGAAAAGATAAAGGAAACAGCTGTTGGAGTCTGGGGGAGGGGTCCTGACCTAAAGAGTTTGATCAGTATGACTGCTGAAAGCATGCAGTGAGAAAATGTTGCTTTGAATTGAATATAGTTTGTTAAGGTAGGCACCAGTAAGCATTTTATCTTTATTTTTCTTGTAACCATTTCTGACTTTTATGCCTCATTACTTATACTCACTTAAAATCTCTCTCTTTGTAGTTAATCAACTTGTTTTACTATTTTATCTAATCCAGTGTGTTTAAATTGAAGTGGCTGGATAGCTATTTAAAATAATAAACTGGCATATTATTCCCTTAAACTAAGGAATGATGGATGTAATATATTCGTATTGTTCAGAAACAGGCTTGGCAGTACAGGACCTACATTTCTGTGAGAAGATCTGGGATGGGGGTGTATTGGGGTCACCCAGCAACATAACTAAGGCTGGTAGGAGCCAGGGTGTGACTGGCTGCAGCATACCCAGATACATAGCTGGGAATGATTTGCATGCTGGAGGCTGTTTGTGAGTTGTCCAGGTTGGAGGCTACAGCAGCAAGGCATTGTAAAGGGCATGCCAGATTAGAGGGTAGGGGTCACACAGCTCCCCACTAGTCTGGATTATGACCCTGGTATGTCATAGCTACCAAGTTACAATGTTATAGTTTTGTGATTTTAGATGTATTTATTGATTTTCAGGTAAATATGCATTCCAGAGATGAAGGTGAAAAGCTCCCTATAAAAAGAGGAGAGAGGGAGAGAAAGAGAAGGAATAAGAAAGATAAATTATGCTTTTATAACAAATTCATTTTTTTATTGTGTGCACTTTTATTTGAATTGATCTTAAGTCAGTGTACAGGTAGCCCCCCCCCCCATACTGGCACCACTTCTTATTGGACTCTCAAGGGGCACTGTAAAGCCTTCATTCACATCTATAATTGGGGAACACAGCCCATTTGCTTGACAAAAATCAAAGAATTGCCTTAAAAGTGTCTGGCTTAAATTTAACTTAGAGGTAAATCAGTAACTTTACCAAGAAATTTAACACTCTTATGTGTTCAAGGAAGTGAAGTGAATAATGGGCAGACGCCTAAAACAGAAGAGAATACCTTTTCAGCTCACCAGTGTTTGGTATGTCATAGTCTGACAATGAGACTGAATGTGGCTTTTTTGGAAACACTGATTTTTGTAGTAGTTCTTCTGCTAGAGCTTATTAATTGCAAATAAAACAGCTGATACATTTAGTTGGGTTTTTTTTCTGTTCTTGATTTGTTTGTGAGCCAATGTTCCTTTCTGCAAATGTATCCATAAATATTCACCAAAAAGTTGGACCAAAAAAATTCAGCCTTTGGGTTATTTGCAAACTTCACTTTGATTCTTCATAGTGCAGAGTCATTTAAGTCACAATATTGTTTCTGAGTAGCAGCCGTGTTAGTCTGTATCCGCAAAAAGAACAGGAGTACTTGTGGCACCTTAGAGACTAACAAATTTATTAGAGCATAAGCTTTCGTGGGCTACAACCCAATATTGTTTCTGTACTGATTCCTCATTAGATTGTTGAAACTTTAAACAGAAGAGCAACAATAAATGGCAAAAAGTGGATAATGACTAAAGACTACTCTTGCATATGCACAAGTATCCTTGTTAACAAGTCTTCATTATGTCCAGCTCCAGCTTAACAGGAGTGAGTAGAGACTAGCTGAAATTGCTGGGAGAGTTTAAAGACAGAAATTTCAGGAAATGGGGAGCAAAAGGGAAGAGCTTCACATTGAGTAAGCTTAAATAAAGATTCTTCTTCAAGTGTTTCCCTTCCTATCCTTTGTTGGTTTTGTGTGTGAGTAATCACAATAAGTAAAGGCAAGCATGTGTGTAAATTTTTGCAAGCTCAGCTCTGCAGAGTGTAATATCTTTGGGACAGGGGACTGTCCCATGCTGTCTGTATAGTGCTTAGCACACATGAGGCCTCTGGGTGTTAAAGTAAATAAATAATAATGCTCTCTTCCACAAGCAAGGGGAGAGTTCTGTAGTCAACAATTATCTTTCTGTAGTTCCCAGCTGTGTGGACAGCAAGTGAAATTTGAAAGAAATAAGATGCTTACCCTGAACGAGGAAGAAGTAGAAAACTGAAATAACAGCAGTAAACGATAACTGGAAATAGGGAAGAAAGTAATAGAAGAAAATGGAAATTTTGTTCTACAAATAATGTTTTTACACTTCTACAGTGCCTTTCCTCTTGAACGATTCCAAAGAGCATTGTATGATGTACAAACTAACAAGGGATCACTTTGTCCACAACCCTGCGGTGGAATGTAGAATTTCAACAGTTGTGAATAAGCAACTCGACACAGTTGGTTGGGACAGAATGTGACTAATACCCTATCTAACTGAAATTTCAGGGTATTCAGAGAGGCAGAATGTAATTACATGCACTAGAATTTGGTCAGGACATTAAGGTGAATACCACTGTTTTTGCACAAAGTATCCCAGGCTTTTTGATGACCACAAGCAATCAGAACTCTGGTTTCCTATTTAACCTGTAAAATGGTGCTTTAGGTGTTCCCTAACATTGGTTCAGTACCAAGGTATCTATCTACTTTTTGTGGTTATAAAGGATCACTATAAATAGCATAGGACAATGCTTAATTTTAAAGGCCAGCACCACAGCATGTTTTATTTGTGGCACAAAAGCATGGGTCCCTCATGGTAAAATCCCTGCAAACAAATATTATGATCCCATGCTTATGAATGGCTCTTCAGTGGATGATAGGTGTCAGGCACCAGATACAAGCATTAAAATACAGGATAGGTAGATACCATATTTGGGGCTGACTCTGAGGGATGTGTGTCACCTGAGGCTTGTTACACATTGTGTTATTCTGGAATAGCTTTCCTGGAATAACTATTCCTGCATAACTCCATGCGGATGCTCTTATTGCAGGCTGGTTACACCGTGTTCCCATGGGCTTTAATCCAGTAGATTGAGCTAAACTGCACAAAGCTCCGTCTGCCATGAGCCCGTCTACACAGAGAGTTATTCAGGAATAAGCACTGTGCTGAATCTAGATTCACAATCTACCTTAATCCGAATTGCCTTTCAAGGGTAGACCCCGTGGGCAATCCCACCCCCCCAGTTTTTAAAAGCGTTGCCCTCTGCCCCCCAACCTACGCCCATGTTAAAAAGTGTGGGGCATGGCCCCTACTGGCTCCCCACTCCCCCGGTTTCGGTGCCGGTGACCCCCACTTCGCCTCTGCGTCCTGTCCGCCTGCGAGCCAGCACAGGGGGACCCTGCGGGGCCGGGCACGGCAGGAGGAAGGAAGGCCAGCCCAGAGCCAGCCAGCCTGCGAACCCGCCCCCGGGCAGGGCCGAGCGGGGCGGTGCTGGAGGCCGGGCCTGGGAAGCACGGCGGGGGAGGGCTGTGCGGCGTAGACCCGGCGCGGTGGAGCCCTGCCCGGTCAGGCCCTGCTGCAAACCCCGGTCTCGGAGTCGTTGCTGCCCCGAGCGGGGCTGGAGCCTCACAGCAGCAACAGTGAGTGGCTGCTGCCGGTCGCTTCTCTGGGGCCGCCGGGGACCCTGCCCCGCCTCCCCGCTCCGCTCTCCCTGCCGGCCCGGCTGCCTCTCCCCGCGTTTCCCCTGGCCCGAGCCGGGCCGGGGCGGCTGTCCCTGGCTGCCGGGCGCCCTGGGCAGTAGCGGGGCTAAGTGGAGGGAGCACAAGTTGGGCTGAAAGCAACGTTTGTCGAGCTGCTTTGGGGGGAGCCCCAAGGGCGAGCTGAGCAGGCCCCTGCCCCACGCAAGGTTGCTGGAGCTGGGATGGGGGGGGCACCCCTAGGGGCCATTTGCCTTGTGGCCACTGGCGAGGACGGTCTGTTGAAGGGTTTGGGATTGAAGAGCTCCGCCACACACGGGCGACTGAAATGCTAAGGTCTGGTCTGCACTACTGCCTTACATCGGTGTGATGACCTCGCTCAGGGGTGTGAAAATCCACCCTCCTGAGCATCACAGTTATACCAACCTATCCTCCTGTGTAGACAGCTCTGTGTCGGTGGGAGAGCATCTACATAACTACAGCCACTCGGGGAGGTGGATTAACTGTGCTGATGGGAGAGCTCTCTCCCGTCCGGCTAGGAGCGTCTTCATTAAAGTGCTACAGCGGCATCGGTGCTTCAGTGCCGATGCAGCATTTTAAGTGTAGACTTGCTCTAAGCTACTGTCTTTGTTGTCTTTCACTTAAAATGGCCCACCAGATTTCATTTTGAACTTGGTTTAAGGATAGATAGGCACAGGCTGATGCTGCCTTGTGTAGGGCATGAAATATGTTTGAGTTACTGTTCTGTGTGATGAGGGTTTATGATGGAAACATTGAAATTAAAGCAGAGGTGGGCAAACTATGGCTCACGGGCCACATCCGGCCCGCCGGACCCTCCTGCCCGGCCCCTGAGCTCCTGGCCCGGGAGGCTAGACTCTGGCTTCTCCCCTGCTATTCTCCCTTCCCTGCAGCCTCAGCTCACTGCGCCGCAGGCGCAATGCTCTGGGCGGCGGGGCTGTGAGCTCTTGCCGGGCAGTGCAGCTACAGAGCCACGGCCTGACCCAGTGCTCTGTGCTGCATGGTGGTGTGGCTGGCTCCAGCCGGGCGGCGCGGCTGCCTGTCTTGGTGCTCTGGGCAGTGCAGCTGTAGCGCCGTCAGCCACCAGTGTGGTAAGGGGGCAGGGAGCAAGGGGGGTTGGCTAGAGGGCAGGGGAGTTCAGGGTGGTGGTATGGATAGGGGTTGGAGCGGTCAGAGGGCGGGAAACGGGGGTTCAGTGGGGGCAGGGGTCCCGGGAGGGCAGTCAGGAAGGGGGGGTTGGATGGGATGGTGGGGGGCAGTCAGGGGCAGGGGTTCCAGGGGCTGTCAGGGGACAGGGAGAAAGAGGGGTGGATGGGGCAGGAGCCCCGGAGGGGCCATCAGGGGGCGTGAAGCAGGGGGGGTCGGATGGGGGCGGGGGCCGGGCCACGCCTGGCTGTTTGGGGAGGCACAGCCTCCCCTAACCGGCCCTCCATACAATTTCGGAAACCCAATGTGGCTCTCAGGCCAAAAAGTTTGCCCACTCCTGCATTAAAGCATTGACATTCAAGTAATTATTTATTGGGGCTCCACCCCTGTTAGAACAAGCACAGTGATGTTGTACAATCAGACATGCCCCACATACTGCAGCGGGTAGACCTGTCTGACTGCATGACAGTTCGTTAGATACTTCTGTGTGGGGTTATTGTCGTTGGCCCAGTGCTTCTTGTGACTTCCTTTAGCCCTAGAACAGATCCATCTGCTATTGTGCCAGTGAGCAGAGCATCATGCCTGTAGCCCCTCATGCACTGCATCATATCCCTCGGTGTCTCATCTCATTCTTTGTCCCATTGTTTCCATCATCATCATCTCACCCTACTTTAAACCTTTCTCAGTTGTGGTGTTTCCATCTTTCATTGTAGCTCCTGTTCACTGTGTGTGGTCAGTGACCATGTCTCCTCTTTGTCATATTTACCTTAGTCTGGATTAACATCCCTGTTCTTTGAAAGCAGCATACAAACTAACCCATTAATCCTCAACATCCTTGTGAGGTACGTTTCCCCACTGTATGGGTGGGGAAGTGAACACAGAAATCAAGTGTTTTGCCCAGGGCCACACAGTGAATTAATTGTTGGCTAAACTGGGATTAGTACTCAGGAGTTCCCAATTCCCAGTCTCATCCTGCTTTCTTTTTGGACCACACTGCCCCTCTTTCTCTATGGGCTGAGAGAGAAAACTGGGATATCTTCCTCTACAAGCTGACAGGAAATGTGTGCCTTGTGTTTCTTGGCTTCCTGAGATATTTCATCCAGCTGGCATATAATTTATGATTACTTTTATCATACATAATAATCTCTCTCTTTCTTTGCTTTCCCCTGGAAGTGGCTGTTGATTTGGAAGATGAAGACGACCGATTTCAGCACAGTGCTAACTCTGCATATAAACCAGTGAATACCTCTTTCCAAGAAGAAGAGCCTCTGATTGAGGAGCCAGTGGGGAACAGATACAGTCTGCAAAAGCCGAAGGATCACTTAAATGGTGCCTATGTTATTTTTTTCATCCTGGGTATTGGCTCTCTGTTGCCTTGGAACTTTTTTATCACAGCAAAACAATACTGGATATATAAACTTCAGAACTGCTCCAATCAGCAGGATCCAAAGGGACATGGAGTCTCTGATCTCCGTGTGAGTATGATGGGTTCCCACTTAATGTCAGCGTGCTAGTGCTTGCGTCAGCCACTAAATCCAACGTGTTTGGGTTCTCTGTATTTTAATCTTAGCAATGGTTAAGAGGAATACTAGGTACTGGGGTCGAGGCAGCTGACTTCTGCTTTCATATTGTTTAAACTGCAGTGGTGTTCTCTAAAATGGGCCTGTTAGTCACTCAGAACTAAGGAGTGGCAATAGCTGCTCTATAATTAAAGGTTGAAACTAGTTGTTGTTATAAACTTGATTTCTTCCCCTCCATCCCTTTGGCACTTCTGTAAAAAAAATAAACAAATCCCTCTGAAGTTTTACATACTGTATCTCTTGGGATAGAGAGTTTGTTTTTTTTTAAAAAATTTGCTATAAACATAACTTTCAAAACCTCTTTTTATGTTTAGAACTTTTACCTGAAGTTCACTTACGATTCCTCCCCCTACTTGAAAAGTAAAATCTTATTTCTCATTCAAGGAATCTGTCTTCAATTATAGCCTACAAATTTAATATGTTTTGACTTTTGCATATATTTTTGTAAATTTTAAGGTGAAGTTAAGGTCGGGAATGTGGTGTTAAGGTCGGGAATGTGGTGTAATTCTGATGAGGAAAGAGTTAATGAGGGACATTATATGACATTGGAAAACTCTGGATCTCATAACTATTCCTTTTCAGACCACCTAACTTTTTTTTTTTTTTTTTTTTTTAAGGTTAGAATTTTTGTAAAGTGAGTCGAATACTATTTTGGAGTTTTAGCTGGATTTAAATAAAATACACTTTCAGCCTTAGTTCTTTGTTCATTATGCTTTTCATTCACAAATATGTTTTAATTAAACAGAGTTGATTGTGTGCTTCAGCTTCAGTGCAAAAGCTCACATCATAAATTCTTATAGGCAGTTGGATCTGGAGTTATTCACTACATTGCTCCATTTCCTCCTAAAAGTGAACTTCCATTTCCCTTCTCCTGTAATTTCACTGTGTGTTGCTTTCCAAAAGACAGTTCAGCACAGAAACAATTAAATATAGAACTGGAGGACACCACTTTAGCAATAGTCATGTTCAAAGTTAGGTGCATAGGTCAGACAGGACCTAATAATGCAATGTTCAGCTACCATTATTTATTGCTGTACTTGGGTCCTACTGAATGGTTGCTGCGCCTGTAGACAGTTGCCTTATGGAAACGTGCGCGTGCGCGCACACAGCCCACTCCTGTCCAAAAACCAATTTTCATAAATGGTTTCAAAGTCTAAAATAGAAGCTTTCTGGCTAGTCTGTTAATGTGTGTGTGCAAAGATAACTCTTGTAGCTGGTGGACTGTAACAAAAAAAGTAAAAATAATTCTTAGTTGTGAGAGGAGACATGGTGGATTATGGAGTTAACTTCATGCTCTTCTTAAATTCCAGAATTAGGAATGCTGGTGACAATCTCGTTCCTGATTAAGATGTCACCACAAAATAATGGCACTTAAAGAGTATATCTCTCAGATTCACTGACTAGGGAACGGTGGGGGAGGGGAGGGGAGGGGATTCCTTTGTACTGGACAGTTTCTATTCAGTGTAGCAAAATCTTGTTGTATGGAAGCATGAAACCTTGAGAAATCCAAGGCCAGCCGGCCTTCCTCAGATCAGCTTCATCAGATAAAATTAACGTCTGTTTGGGCTGTGGTTTGGAGCTGGATTGCTGCTGCACTATGTAGCTTCTGGCCGTATTCGGAATAGACGCTTTATAGTCAGTTTGGTTATATCAGATGTTTCACCATGCACAGGGAAGACAGGAGGCACACGGTGTCTGTCTGCTTTGCCGGAGACAAGATTAGTACTAACATGGCCCTCTAAAGAGGCGTTGTGCCGTTTTCGACATCTTCCCCCTGTGCACCTAGTGATGAAGCATGTACCTTAGAGGCAAAAGGAATCATGACAGCAGGACTTTGCAAATGACAATTATAGCTGAACTTCTATGACACTAAGCCTATTCCAGGTCCTGTTGTTTACAATTCTGCAGGCCACCTTATGATTCAGTACAGGTTTTTTCCAAGTGCTGGCAGGTGTGGATGTAGTACTTGCTGCAGCATTAAGCCTCTGGCTTTTGGCATGTGAGATGAGAAACTTGTCACCTCTCGATTCATGGTCCAAACCTTGAAAAGCAAACTTGCCATTGGAGGAAGTGGTTTTGTGTTTTACATTGCATTTTTCTTCTTAATTCCTTGTTTCTTCACTTCTCATTGCTGCTGGATTCTTGAGTTCCCTGCAAGAGGTGCTACTCTGATGCCCCAATCTGAAAGCTCCTGTGGGTGAACACAAACACACCTGGCATCACAAGCACCTGCAGTCAGATCATTTCTTTACACTAAAAAGAATTCATTCCAATTCTGCTTCTGAGTGTTGCTTTCCAAAGTCAATGTTGGCAAGAGAAGCTTCCCTGAGAGCAATCCTGACAATCTGAAAGTCTTCATAACCCACCTAAGCAGTTCAGCTTGTAATGGCTTGGGAACTCTTAGGCTGGATGTATTTTGCTGCTTCTTGGTTTCTTCAGGTAGAAAACACATTTCTGGCTACTCCCGTTAGCATTTCCATCAATCGCTAATGTCTTTTAATCATAATGATTTATATGACTTCCATCCCAAAGGGTCACAAACCACTGCCTAAATTTAGCAAACTGATGTAAAAAATTATACATGGATCACCTCACTAGCTGCTCAAAGGCAGCAACCTCTAGTTTGAAACATAATTATTTAATAATGCACAGGAACTCTATGCTACAGTTCAGAGCAGGAAGTGTATATTACCTTTCTAAAGAATTTAGTTGGGTAGAATATAACTTGAGCCTGAAATTTGACCAGGGCACTGAGGTTAACATTCCAATGGCTTTTAACTCTAGTCCAGTGGTTCTCAAACTCCATTGCACCCCTGACAACAAAAATTACCACACGACCCCAGGATGGGGGACCGATGACTGAGCCCGCCCAAGCCCCTTCCTCTTATTGTTTGTTGCACTTCATTTTAAATTAGGTCCTGATTCTGCAATCTGATCTATGTGGCCACAGCCCCATTGACTTCATTGGGATTCTATGCAGGAATAAGTTTACTGCATTCAGATACAAAAAAGACCTATCTCTGTCATGATTTTCCCATAGTAGTACCCTCATTCATTCATTTGTTCATTTTAAAACCCCCTAAGAAGCAGGCTTAGGGTATGTCTACACTACCCACTGGATCGGCGGGCAGCGATTGATCCAGCGGGGATTGACTTATCGTGTCTAGTCTAGATGCGATAAATCGACCTCCGAGCCCTCTCCCGTCGACTCCTGTACTCCAGTGCTGCGAGTGGTGCAAGCAGAGTTGACGGGGGAACGGCAGCAGTCAACTCACCGCAGTGAAGACACCACGGTAAGTTGATCTAAGTATGTTGACTTCAGCTACTTTATTCATGTAGCTGAAGTTGTGTAACTTAGATTGATTCCTTCCTCCCCCCTCCCCCCCCCGTAGACCAGGGCCTACTGGCAGGGAAGTGTGGGGAAAGAGAGGCATTTGGTTACAGTGGTTGTGAGGGCCATAAAAGTATCCAGATACATAGGAAGATCGGGGGATGTCTATGTAAATCAGATTGCAGGATCAGGGCCTTGGATTGTAAACGCTGAGGCAGGGCCTGGGGCTTCCTATGTGGTGGCACAGCACCTAGTACAATGGGGCACCAACTGGCAGATATATTAGCCTGCCTTTGCCCAAATTAAATCCCATTTTGTTATCTTCTGCCCATGTTTCTAATCTAAAGCCTCCTTTCTAATCTGTCTCCTCAGTAGTATTTGCAACATCTCCCAATTTGGTGTTAGCTGTGAATTTCATTAACATGCTGTTTACTCCTGTCTTTCAGTGCATTAATCAAGATGTTAAATAAAGATCTGATCTAATATGATCACTAAGGTGGCACTCTATAAACCTCCCCCCAGCTTGTCACATTGCCAATTATTATTAATTTTTGATTATGGTCACTTAGCCAGTTTTCATTCCACATGAGAGTTTCTATCCAAGCCAATTGTAATTAATTTTCCAAGTAAAAAATATTGCTATATGTTGCGTCTACCTTCCCTCCTTTGCTCCAGAGTTTAATATTCTGCTGCCACATTAGGCCCTAGCACACTCATGTCACTTTGAAAGAGAAGAAATGGATTGAGTAGATGAGGCATTTCAGAAAGTAGATGATAGGACTTCCCAAAAGGAGAAAAAGTGCATTCTGTATTTGTAGCATGATTCTGAACTTTTCAGCTCAACATTTGTGAGTTCATTTTGGGATACACACCCTTCCTTACTGCCTATCTTCTCATTTTGGGTGGGTTAGAACAGTGGTTCTCAACCAGGGATACGTGTACTTCTGGGGGTACGCAGAGGTCTTCCAGGGGGTACGTTAACTCATCTAGATCAGTTTCTCAACGGGGGGTTGCAAACCTGAAGGGGGAGGGACACAAGTGCATGGCCAGTGTTAGAGGGTGGCAAACAGGGCAACTGCCTGGGGTCCCATGCCACAGGCCCCCCCCCCGCAAAGCTAAATTACATGGTTCTGCCACAGGTGGCGGGGCTTGGACTTCAGACTCCTGAAAGGGGTACAGTAGTCTGGAAAGGTTGCGAACCAATAGGTTAGGATTTCTCTCAAACTGTTTGATCTTCTTCCCTACTTTTAAGGCAAGGCTCATCCCTAGAGCATTATTGATTAACTAATGTCTTTTTAGTCTTAATTGGAATTATCTTTCTCTCTTTTATAAATAATTTAGTACTCATGAAAAGTGCTATCTTGCCAAGCCTGAAGCCTCTACTTACCCACACACCAGCTATAGCAAAAGCAGGCGCAGTAGAAGCTTTCCCTAGTCTGTGTCCCACCCATAAGATCATATCTTTACCCCTGATTTGAAGGGACCACCCTTCTAGGGATGTGCCATGTCCATCTGACCCTTGATCTCTCTGCCAATGAAAGAGCAGTTGCATTTTTTTCTGAAG